TTTTTTTTTCTTTTGATAAAATAAAATTCCTAGTTCAAATTTAGTATATATTCTCTTATTTGTCTTTCTTGGCAGTGTATAGTACAATCCCAAAAGAAAAAGATACGAGAGAACGTGAGAGAAAGTAGAAACAGTTAGAAGTAAAAAATGAAAATGCAAGTGTGGCCCCCACAAGTTGGAGCGCGAGACTTTCGGGGGGGCTGTTTGAGAATGGAGGCTTTTCTGAGTTTGGTGGGGTCTTTCAAAATTCACACTGTCTCTCTCTTTGAATTGCCAAATCATAGCATTCAAAAGTAATCTGTTTTATTTTTATCTTTTCTTTGCCTCTTTCTTTCTATTTAGATTAATATGATCGATAATTTATTATATTTTTTTTTTGTTGAAACAAACTATTGAATATTGAATAATATTTCTAAAATACCTGTTATAGTTGGTCATTTCACACCGATTAAGACAATATAATAAATGAAAGAGAGAGAATAGTAAATTGAGAATATTAATAAAAGGATATAATTAAAAGAAAAACATTAAAACTGCATTGAAAACTAAAATACGAAACTTATTTTAGGACAAAAAGTTTTATAAGATACGATAATTATTTTGAGACAAAGAGAATAATAACATACTAGGAATACTTCTCTCTTAAAGAAGGAAATAATTATCTTTTAACTATGAGATCTTTTAACTTTCCTATAGAATTAAGTCTCTGCTAAAAATTGCGGTTGACTGATAAGTTAGTTTATAACTTATGGTTGATGGCTGATTACTGATAATTGATAACTGATAGCTTATAACTTATAGGTTCTATTTGATAAAAATAATGGTTGGTTGATAAGCTAGCTGATAGCTTATAACTTATAGCTAAGCTAATTGAAGTGTTTGATAAAATTAACGGTTCAATTAGTTGATAAATTAAAATAACATAAAAGATATTTAATATATAATTTTTTATTTAAATTAAAATAAACTATAAAGAACAGTAGTGGATTTTAGTTAAAATAGTAAAGATAAAAGTGGAAGAAAAAATGACGAGGTATTAGCCATAAGCTAAAACGCTATTTAAAATAGCGTTTGAAAAATAAGTTATAAGTTAGTAAAATAAACTATAAATTCGTGATGAAAAAACTGTTACCAAACAGATCTTTTATTGTCATATGAGCTTATAAGCTATAAGTTATAAGCACAAAAATGATTGTGCCAAACAGAGTCATAGTTGTTGGTTGGTGACCGATAGCCGATAAGCTAATTGAATTGTTTGGTAAAATTAACAGTTCAACTAACATATAAATGTAAAATGACATAAAAGACATTTATACATATTTATTTTATTTTAAATTGAAATAAATTATAAAGAATAAAAGAGAGCTTTTATTAAAATAATAAGGATAAAAATGAAAGAAAAGATGATAAGATATAAGCTATAAACTATAAGTCAAAATGCTATTTGAAATAGCGTATGAAAAATACTCCCTCCATTCTTTTTTATAAGCAAATTTTGATTTCTTAGGTTCATTCAATAAATGATGTATTTGGATTATATATAGGTTAGATGCATTAATTACTTAATGAAACCAAAATGTTAAAATTTGCTTATAAATAGGAATGGAGAGAGTAAGCTATAAGATTATGATAAAAAAATTGTTACCAAAAATATCTAAATTGTCATACAAGCTTATAAACTATAAGCTCAAAAATATAGTTTATCAAACGGAGCCTAAGTAATTAGTTGACTATTTTTTAATTGAGAAATACATAAGCATAAAGGAAAAAAGTAAAAAAAAATATAAAATTGTAAATAATTTATTTTATTGATTTTGTGTGATAAAAAAAGTATTAATGTAGTCTTTATTTAGTTACAAAAAAATAAAGAGAAAGTGTAAATAGATATGAGATATGAGAAAGATGTTTCTATCAATATCAAAGACAATCAACAACAAAATTTTAACGGTGTAACTTTCAGCGTAAAGGAAAAGACGGTGAAAGAGAAAAAAAACTCAATTATTTTTACAAAGACAAATAAATCATATGTCATGAATATTAAGGCTGAATGTCCAAGAATTCTAAGGAAATAAAGAAAATGCTTAAATTCACTTTTGGTCTCTATAGTTTGGGAAATTTAAACAATTGACTCCCCCTATTACAAAACTTGCGAATTTGGTCCCTTAAGTTAGACCCACTTTGGATTTACTTAGTCCCTTGTCCTTTTTTGCTTATGTGACATGTTTTTTAATGAGTTGACAGTCTTATATGGGATCCATGCCATCAAATTGTAATATTTTAATTCCAGTTGGATAGTTTAATTCAGAAACTATTAAAATTAATTTTTTAAATCAAAGAAACAAATTATTAAATGATGAAAATATTAATATAGGCTTAGGTAAAAAAAAATCCCCAATTCACACGATTGTTCTTCGTCTTCTTCTTCCTCGCTCCACTGTTCTTCGTCTTCCTCACTCTGTTTCTTCAAGTGAACATCAAATTTAACTATTAAAATGTCGCAGCAGTCTGGTTATAGCCATGGAAGCGGTTCATCTAGTCGTTCGAGGTATGTATGCAAGTGTGGTCTTGACGCTCCGTTGATGACGACATGGACAAATGGGAACCCATGTCTCCGTTTCTATGGATGTAGGATGTATAAGTTTCAAGGGTACAAAAAATGCACGCACTTTGCTTGGTTGGATTAGAAAATGAATCCTAGAGCAAAAAGGTTAATTTTTGCACTATTAAAGAAGTTGAATGAGGAGAAGGATATGGTAACACCCACAAAGCCAAGGAGGACGAATTGAAGATTAAGGTGAAGATCTTGAAGAAGCAATTGAAGATTAACTGGATTTTGTTATTTGTAATGTTCTTTGCATTTGTTGGAACAACAATGATGAAATAGGATATAGTTGATTAGGGTATCTGTAATGTTGAATGATGATGTAATATTGTAATGGTTGAAAGTTAATGTTATGGTATTCATGTTATGGTATTCATGTTATAATTTGACATCATTGGCTTATAAAAATGTTATGATATTCATGTTATGGTATTAATGTTATGGACTTATAATTTTGACAACAATGTTTTATAATTTGACAGCAATGGCTTATAATTTGACATAACAATGGCTTATAATTTGACAACAATGTTAGTCTGCAACATGACAGTTTATAATTTGATATAACAATGGCTTATTATGCGATGTTCATTTCTTTCAATTTGACATGACAATGGCTTATTATTTGACAGCAATATTAGTCTTCAACATGACAATTATAATTTGACAGAGCAATATGTAAAGGGCTTATATTAATCTATGTTAACAATGGCTTATAATAATGGACCTATAATAGTGCAATGTAATGACTTTTAATTCCCCATAACAATGCCTTATACATAGTGACATAACATGACTCATAATTTGACATAACAATGCCTTATAATTTAACATAACAATACCTTATAATTTGAATTTACACCAATATGACAGAACAATAAGCAAAGGGCATTCCATTAACATACTTATATATATATGTCTGCATTACACCAAAATAACATTGTTTGACAGTAACATTGTTTAACCAAAATAACACTCAAGACTCAACTTGAGTAAAAAAGAAACCTAGAGTACATTACTACCCAAAAAGATAAATGCGTACAACAATTTAAACCTAGAGTACACTACTCTTGCGTTGGTTGATGATCTTGTGAACTTTGACTAATTTTTGTTTGGTTTTCATTAGACTTAGCCTTAACTTTCTTAGCCTTGTTTGGTTTATTCCCACCCTTTGGAATAGCCCTATCTGCAACCCTTTTTCCCTTACATCTTCTCTTGTTATGCCCTTATAGCACCACATTTTGCACATGTGACAGTTGAAAACCTCCTTGGAAGTATGTGAGAATTTCTAGGTTCATCATTTGTTTTGTTTCTTTGTTTTTTTGGCCTTCCAATAGCTCTTCTCATAACAGGTGGTGCCATTTTACTCTGATCAGCTACAGGCCACAATTGTAGTCCATTGGTTAGAAACACTATGTGCGAGTAAGTTTCCATAAATGTTTATTTCCTATTTAAAATAGAATCCAACCATAACAGTCAACAATTCATACAATAATATTCAACATGAGAAGTAAATAGATATAGTACATAAGTCTAACCTATAATATGCAGCAACATGATCCTCAAGTTGTTTCATGATGCTCCATATGCATGCAATTATATGGCATCAAGGTATACCACTCAATTCCCAATTCCAAATGAGCAAGATTCCTTCTTCAAATCAACATAATTAGCATCAATTCTATTTTTGACACCAAATATGGCTAGGTCATCATCACCATGCCATGTAGGACTCCACCCTTGTGCTTGCTTCTTATTTTTCTCAAGTACCAACTGAACTTTAGGGGATATGGATCCTGTGTAGCCCTGTAGCAATTCCTTCTGACTTGCAATCCTCTTGTTGATGTAATATTTGATGCCTTTCAATAGGGTGATAATAGGTTTCTCCCTATGCTCCAGAATTGCCCTATTGAATTTTTCAAACATGTTGTTGACCTATAAGTCACACTTTGAATAAGTGTTGAAGTGTGATCTACTCTTATGGCTAGTAGGGACTTCCATCATATCTTTCCATGCCTCTTCTTTCATTTCCTTCATTTTTAGCATTGCCTTTTCCCAAGCAGGAATGGTTGTTGCCCTAGTAGATGCTCGAAGCACTTCCTTGAATTCCAACCCAGGGTGTCTCTTCTTCCAGTTTCCATACAAATTCTTAACACACAATCTACACTCCACATTGGCATTAATGCCTTGAACAGTTGGAACAAGTCCATGTAAGTTTAAAATCAAATGACAATTGATAAAAATGTAAGTGTAAAATCAAATGACAATTCATAAAAAAAATGTAAGTTTAAAATCAAATGTAAGTGTAAACAATTATCTTTTGTTGATCTGATATAAATGAATAAGACCTCTGATTTTAGCCTTGCAAACCATGTAGAAGAAGGTTTAAAAACTACAGTTAAGATTCTCTTGCTTCAGTTTCTACTACATCATATGATATTGGAAAGATCTGGTTATTTCCATCCCTCCCTATTACTGACATTAACTGTCCACCATAATCTCCTTTTAAGAAGCATGCGTGTAACCCAATTAGTGGCCTACATGTCTTTGAAAACCCCGCCTTGCAAGCTTCTAAACACACATAAATTCTTTCAAATACATGGTTGCCATTACTATCACCACATTGTATTACAACAATAATATTAGGGTTTGATTTCAATATCTCTTGTCCATAAGATCTCAAATGAGAGAACTCCTCAATACCAGCCCCTTGAACCAACTCCATTGCTTTCCTTTTGGCCCTATATTCCTGGTCATGGAATAGTTTCACTCCCCATTTCTCAACTGCTTCAGCTATGAGGACTGCTGGTTTCCCTATGGGGACTATGTGTAAGAGTGTTGGCAAACCTTTTAGCAAGCCACTGGTCTTTGTACTTATATTGTTAGCAGTCTTGTGACAAGTATGTTCTTCAATCAAACTCATAACTTGCCAAAATTGGTTACTAATTATTTTACTAAATCTCATATAGAACTTACATCCATCAGTGCATTTCACCACAACCCTTTTGGAATCATTTTTCTTAATGAATACATTCTTCTAATTTTCCATCCCATTGTCCTTGATTGCATCCCTAGTGACTTCTTTGTTAGTAAACATCATGTCTAATTAAAATTTCATTCCCTCACCAGATTTATATGTAGGAAACTTCAGTCCCTTCCCATCATCAGTGTATATACATGGTTTGAGTTCTCAATTTCATCATGGACCACCTCAGTTTAATCTACATTCTTTTGGCAACTATCAACCTCACCTAATGTCTCTTGGGGAATAATCTTAGTCTAGTTCATCTCACTCAAATATGATTCTTCATTAAAATGGAACTCACTATCCTCAAAACTACCCTCACTTGCAACATAATCATCATCCATGATCTCTACTCAAGCATCATCAACATTAGTATCTCTTGCAACTTCATCAATCTTATCATGCACAACGTCATTATCTCATACAACTCCATCACTCTTATCATGTACAACATCATTATCTCCTACAGCTTCATCACTCTTATCATGCACAACATCATTATCACATACAACTTCATCATTGTTATCATGCACATCATCTTCACAATTAGCCTCAAGGTTAACATCTACCCCAACATCATCCTTATTAACATCTTCACTCTTAAACCTTGTACATTGTACATCATATTCACCAACATCCTCAATGTTAGCATTGACTTCACTATCATAAATAATCTCAGGTATCCCCACACTATTCTCCACACACACATCTATTACATCATATCCTACAACATAATTTGAAAACTGCAGTACATCCTTATCATTGCTCAAGGGTCTAAGACCATGAGAAAAGCTATATGCAGGATTCCAATACCACAAGCACTTTATATTTATGTAACCCTCACTCTTAATCATATCCTCTAATTACATGTATGACATATGATACACATCCAAACTCCAATTCATCTCAGTAACTTCCCCATTTACATACCACTTAACAGGTGTCTAAACTAATTTTCTCCTATGATGTATTCTCAACCTAATCTTATTAGTCTTAGCTGGCCTGAGAAAAAATTGACAAAACTAGAATCAGACAAGCATAAAGTCGCACCAGGGACCACAAGATTACATAAACAATAATAAACACATGGAACCATAAGCAAAATTTTTACAAGATTATCAGTTGTGTTAAGACTATTTAATCTTAAGGAAAGAGGTGGGTGAACGGATAAAAGCTTCAGTGAATTGCTTGAAATGTTGCAAGAAATGCTTTCATAAGCTAACACGTTGTCAAACAGTAGTTATGAGTCCAAAAAGATATTGTGTTCAATGAGTTTGGACTAAGTCAAAATACATGCATGTCATAATGATTGCATATTATATAGGAAAGAGTATGAAAAGTTGAAGGAGTTCCCGAGGTATGGGGAGTCACACTATTAGTAGAAGGATAATGGTGTTGAAGATGATGATGGCATGACTAGAAAGGGTGTTCCTTCTAAGGTGATATGGTATCTACCAATAGTTCAAATGTTCAAGAGATTGTTTGCTAATGTAAATGACACAAATAATACTATATGGCATGCAAATGAAATAGTATATGATGGAAAAATCCATCATATAGCTTATTCATTGCAATGGAAGAAAAATGATTTGTTGTTTCAAGATTTTGTCTTTGAGGCAAGGAACCTTAGGCTTGGACTTGCTAGCGATGTAATGAACTTGTTTAGTACTTTGAGTACTAACCATACTTCATGATATGTTCTTCTCACAATTTACAACCTATCTTTATGGTTGTTCATGAAGTGCAAATATATGATGTTATCAATGATGATTTCGGGTCCAAAATAACCAAGGAACCACATAAATGATTATTTAACAGCATTGATTGAAGATTTAAGAATTTTGTGGGAGGAAGACATTTATATTGATGATGTGTATACATGTGATAACTTTAAGTTGTGTGCCATGTTGTTTGGCAAAATCAATGACTTTCTTGCATATAGTCATTTATCTGGGTACAACGTCAATGGACATAAAGTGTGTCCTATATGTGAATAAGATACATGCTTCCACCAATTGTACAATGGGAAAAAATATTGTTTACTTGTGCATAAAAATTTATAAGACCTAATCACCTATACCATAAATCGCAGAAGGCTTTTAATAGAAAATAGGAGTTTGGTATCGCTCGAAAGCCCTTAACCGGAAAGGAAGTTTATAAAATACAACAACACATTAATCTTGTCTTTGGAAAGAAATGAAAAGGGCATGTGGAGAAAAATATTTGGAAAAAGAGGTTGGTTTTCTTTGATCTTCCATACTGATCTAATCTCGATGCAAGACATTATCTTGATGTGATGCACATGGAAAAAAGTATGGTATAGTTTGATTGGAACACTTCTAAACATTAAGGGCAAGAAAAAAAGATACTAAGAAATCCCGTAAAGATATGGTGGTGATGGGTGTACGATAAGAGTTATCCCTAAAAGATATAAGAATTATAACATATTTGCTCCTAGCATGACAAACTCTGTCTAAAAAGGATTTTTTTTTTTTTTTTGCAATTGTTTGCAGGGTATCATAGTTCCCTAAGGGTACTCATCAAATATGAAGAAACTTGTGTCAATGAATATTCTCAAATTAGTTTGCTTAAAATATCATGATTATTATGTCTTGATGCAACTAATTCTACCAGTAACTATCCGTGACATTCTACCAAAAAATGTAAGGGTAACTATAATCAGACTGTGCTTATTCTTCATTTTCATATGTAGAAAAGCCATCGAATCTACAAATTTAGATGAGTTAGAACATGAGGATGCAATTATCTTGTGTTAATTAGAAATGTTTTTCCCTTAATAAATTTTTGACATTATGGTTCACTTAGTTGTTCATCTAGTAAGGGAGATTAGAATTTATGGTCTAATTTATTTACGGTGAATGTATCTGGTAGAGCGATACATGAAAATTTTTAAAGGGTATATAAAGAATCATAATCATCTAGAAGCTTCGATCGTTAAATAATACATCACATAAAAATCTTTTAAGTTTTGTATAAACTATTTGTCAGAAGTAAACTCTCACTACTACGGAAAACCCATTTAGAAACGGTTGAGAAAGATATATAATCACGTGGGCCAAGACGTTGTTATGTAGAGTGTCCTTGTATATATGATACTTACAATCACGACCCAATAACTGTTGTAATAAACTTGAAAGTGCGCTACCTATAATCACGGTTATTTTAAATACCCGTTGTTGTATGTCTTTTAATAAAATTAAAAAAATACAACATTAGAACTACCTATAATCACAGTTATTTTAAATATCCGTTGTTGTAAGTCTTTTAATAAAATTAAAAAAAAATTACATCATTTGAACAAGAACAACAGCAAAAACAACAAGAACAACAACAACATCAAGAACAACAATAAGAACAACAACAAAAACAACAAAAACAAGAACAACAACAACAACAATAACAAGAAGAAGAAGAAGAAGAAGAACAACAACAACAATAATAACAGAAACAACAACAAAACAACAACAAGAACAACAATAATAAAAAAAGAGCACCAACAACTAACATTGCTAACTCAAATCCATACTTTCCTTGTCTTATTCAAGTTGTAGAAGAGATGATGGAGTTATGAAATTTGTTAATGAAAGAAATGATATTTTCGAGTTTTGTTTATGAAAGAAATTTTGTTTTCGAGTATGGTTTAGTGGAGAAATAGAGTACCGTAAATGTAAGATTATGTTTGGAGGTAGAAGATGTAGTTCGTCTAAGTTTTAGGTTTCACGTGGATAACTAGTAGTAGTGTCTTGACCATTGATAATCACTAAATGGACGGCCAAGATTTGTTTAAAGACAATGAATAAACTCAATAAGCGTGCCACTTATAATATTGGTGCGGGGACTTGAAAAAACAAGTAAAAAACCAAAAATGTTGGTGTTGGGACTTGAACCTATGACCAGAACCTACCTATAATCACGGTTTTTTAAATACCCATGGTGAAAGGTATGTCATCATTTTGAAAATATAAGTAAAAAACCAAAAATGCTGGTGTCGGGGCTTGAACCCATGATCAGACGCTACCTATAATCACAGTTTTTTAAATAACCATGGTGGAAGGCCTCACTTTTCACCACGGTTGGAACTTTAACCGTGATTAAAATTATTTTAATAAAATAAAAAATACGCGCTCCTAAATATCACATATTGCTATGGTGAATAGGAAACCGTTGTTACTTTGGCGTTGTTGTTTACACGTTTTGTAGTAGTGTCTATAGGAACCCCGAGTCTCGTCATTTTGGAAGATATGATGGTAGAGATATTCAAGGTTTAAATGTTAAGACATTTGACTGAGATGGATTTCTTCAAGTACATTTGTATATATTGAATAAAGTTAGTGAAGTTCAACCTTACTTGACCATTCCTACAAGTCTTATTAAGGAAACATTCTCCTAGATGAGTGAAAAAATGTTGTTGCCAAAGCATAAAATTTTTTTTATAACTTGGTTTAATAAAAGAGTTTCTAAAGAGAGTAGTGCATCAGACACAATTAAATAGATGTCACATATGCCTAAGTTTAATGTAATAACTTGGAGTATATACTACATTACCAAATATTCATTCTATACAAAATAAAAAGATGATTGTAGCACCACAAAATAGTGGGGTTATGGTTGAAGTTGAATCCATGTACTTCTCTAGTTTGAAAGATAAGAATCTTGTATTGCCATCTAGAGCATACTTTAGGGTCATTGAGGCGATTTTGGATAATGATTATGTTACTTTTAAAGTGCCTTTATTTAAGTGCAAGTGGATTGACAGTAACACTGGTGTAGAAATTGATGAATTAGGATTCATAGAAGTTGATCTTCAAATGACGACTTATATAAACGAAACATTCATCATGGCATCCCAAGAAAAATAAGTTTTTTTATGTCACTGA